TATTGAGCTGGTCTTCTGTTTCACACAGAATTTACAGCACAGAACCAGACCTCACACTGCCTCTTCTCCTTCCTTATCCTACTGACGTAACACTCTTCTCCTTTATCTCTCTAGAGTTTGTTTAGCTTCTTGGCCACCTTAAACACTCCACAATGTTACCAATCGCTGTGTAAAGCAATTTATTGTTGTTGTTGCTGACAGAAGACACATTTGGTCAGATGTTTCCACCTGTGAGAGTGCTAGCTGATTGGCGAGCATGCTGCCATTGGAAAATGCAGCAGTTAATGATAGTTGACTGCCAGGTTTTATTAAACTGTCAATCATCATTAATTGCTACATTTTCCACGGCAACGTCCACTGGCCAATTAATTCACACTCTTTTCATATGGTGTTTGATTTGATTTATTTTTGTCACATGTACTGAGATACAGTGAAAAGTATTGTTTTGCGTGCAAACCAGACAAGTCATACCTTACATAAGTACTTCAGGGTAATAGAACAGAACGCAGAATATAATGTTACAGCTGCAGAGAAGGTGCAGTAAAATATCAATTCTAATATATGAGAGGTCTGTTCATAAATCTGATAATAGCAGGAAAGAAGCTGCTCTTCAATCTGTTGGTCCGTGTTTTCAAATTTTTGTATCTTCTGCCCAGTGGAAGAGGGTGGAAGAGAGTATAACGGGGATGGGAGGGGTCTTTAATTGTGTCAGTCGCTTTCCCAAGACAGCAGGAAGTATAAACGGAGTTAACGGAAGGAAGGCTGGTTTGTGCGAATGACTGGACAGTGTTCATCACTCTCTGTCATTTCTTGCGGTCTTGGGCACAGCAGTGATGCCAAGCTGTGATGCATCCAGATAGGATGCTTTCTATAGTGCATCTATAAAAATTAGTAAGAGACATTGTGGACATGCTGAATTTCCTTAGCCTTCGGAGGATGTAGAGGTGTTGGTGTTGACATGGATGGACCATGACACATTGTTGGTGATATTGACTCCTAGGAACCTGAAGCTCTGAACCATCCCTACCTCAGCACCATTGATGCAGACAGGAGAGTGTCCTCCACTCTGCTTCCTGAGGTCAGTGACCAGCTCCTTCATTTTAGCTGCCATTGAAGGAGAGATTGTTGTATCTACACCATGTCACTAAACTGATGCTACAAATCAGGAACAAAAACAGTTCTTCCCCAGTTCTGAGGAAGGGTCACCGGACCTGAAATATTAACGCTGATTTTTTTTCTTCACAGATGCTGCCAGACCTGCTGAGCTTTTCCAGCCACTTCTGTTTTTGTTTCATCGCCATAGGTGTTGGTGTTCCTCTTTATTGGTATTCTTGCAAATTGTCCTGATGAATGTAAGTTGAAAAGCTTCAACAAAATGTGTTTTTCTTCAGCAATACTCAAGTTTCTTACTACCAAACGAATAAAAGAAATTTCTCCATCATTTATTAGTCACTATCTTGTGTTCACAAGCCTTTGTTTTGCATCTTCCCACACATCCCATTAAAATCCTGACATGATCTTTTAACCTCTGCCAAGTAATCACTGCATAGCGACTGCCCTTAATTCAAATGACAGTGATAGATGCAAGGGGTGATCCGTTGCTGTTGTTGCCTTTTGCCATCTTAGATCCTGCATGCAGCATAAAGACACCAGTAAATCCTGCAGCTGGCAAGTTGTGAAGAGGGAAAGTGAGATAAAGAACTGAAGAATGTCTAAAAATGTCAAAGTTACAGAAGTGCTACTTCTTTGTCCCAGCAACAAGTGTGATGGAGCAGCTTATTGCATGTAATGATATTTGTTTTGAGCAGAACTCAACCCCTTAGTTTCAAAAATAACTTGTATTTATATACTGCCTTTAATGAAGTAAAATGGGTAACACAGTCAGACACTAACCCACATAAGGAGACACAAAGGCTTGGTCATGGAGTTAGGTTTTTAGGAATGTCTTAAAAGGAGGAGAGGTAAAGAAATGGCGATGTTTAGGGAGGGAATTCCAAAGCTCAGCAGCTGAAGGTGCAGACGTCATTGTTGGAGTGATTATAATCAGCTTGGAACAGACAAGATTGGAGAAATCCTAGACATAGGGTTGATGGCCTAGAGTTCTCTGATCTTTATTCTATTTAAGAATAATTTTTAACAAGTACTTTGGTCTGTGCATGAAATAAAAAGGCTTGTTAACACTTGCACCCTGAAACCATGAGGAAGTACACCACTGGGTTAGATACATGCACAAACACCCAGAAGATGGAGCTGTTCAACTTTCTAATAAGGTAATCCCAATCTTACCAACATTTATAAAAATGCAAAATAGTTCAAGAGCCACAATAGCTCCTAACTGTTGCCATTGCTAACTTTTTACGTCATCTGAACTGACCTCCAACTTCAAGCATTCAATTGCTATTGTAGACAAAGTTCTGAATAATGTTCAAGTCACATTTTGTTCCATTCATTATCAAAGCAGATTTATGAATAAAGCCCAGAGATCAATTTAAATCAAACCGAAACATTCACAGATGCAAAGTCATTAAGAGTTTAAGCAGACCATCAAATACCACATCAAACAATTCAAAAACATTAAACCCAAGATTCAGGGTAAATTATCACTGGCAGAAACATTGCTGTGTTTCTGGCTACATTGCTTTTCTCAGAAATCGACAAAATTCACATTTTTCTTCATTTGGGTGTGCCTTTTTTCTACAAAGTAACTTTTGTTTAACCAGAAATGGAACAATACTGTCAAATCAGATACTGTAAAATATAACAGAGTAAAAGCAGATACCGTAAAATAACCCACTTCACTTGGCCTCAATAATGTTCTTCAGCCGGAAGTTCCTTCCCACTGGTCAGTTCTCCCAAATTCATTCATTTGGGGCTCCTCTTGTCAATGTGCCACCGGAATAAAGACCATTTTTTGTGATGATTCCAGATTCACAAAGGGCTGTTATGAAACTTGCTCAGGCTCTTTGTGTAGGTCCAGCATCAATCAGCCGAGTGGATTTTTATTCCAGAAGCCTGGGCAGAATTTGAACATTTCCCCAAGCTGGAAGCAACCAATGCATAACTCGCTCCGTTACACAATCTCCTCAGGAACAGATGGCAAAGCGATACAAGATCATTTATTTTCTCCATGTATGGGATATCACTGGCATGAACAGCATTTGTGGCCTATGCCTAGCTGCCCGTGAGCCAATGGCTTGATGGGCCATTTGAAAGGGCAGAAAAAAGTCAACCACATTGTTGTGGATCTGTGTCATGTGTTGTGCCAGATCAGGTAAGGATGGCACACGTCCTTCCTTAAAGGACATTACACAACCAGATAGGAATTTACAGCAATCAACAGTGGTAACATGTCATTAGACTAGCTTTTCATTCCACATTTCATTGAATTCAAATTTCACCATCTGTAGGGTGGGATTTAAACCCATGCCCTCCAGAACATTAGCCTGAGGCTCTGCATTACCAGTCCTGTGCCATTGCCAGTGTGCTACCACCTCCCCTACTTGATATGAATCTGATGAGTTTTATTATTCAGACCTTACAATAGGTCTCTACAAAGACCAGAATGATCCAGGTTGGTATTTTTCTCCCTAATGTCAGCATCAATAGTGTTAAGAACTACAACCAGCCCAAAAATGATGTGTTCAAGGTCTATCATGTTTGTGAAACATTGTCAAAATATGTCACATTTGTTGTTTTGTTGACACACAATCTAAGAGTTTTAAACAGCCTGAAAACCCATGTTTCAGTGTGTTTTTGAACCACTGTTCAATTTTGATTTCTACAGAAAGGGGCAAGAGTCATTCCCTAAAGGCAAATGCGCAGCAGTGTCAAGTGCCTGAGTCTGCAATGAATTGTATTCGAGGTCCACGAAATAAATTGGTTTGATCCTTTCATGGGAAATGGGCGTCACTGGTAACTTGCTTCTCATCCCTTATTGCCCTTTGAGGGAGTGGCTTACCAGACCATTTCAGAGGACAATTAAGAGCCAACCACATTGCAGAGGTTCTGGAGTCATATGCAGGTCAGACCAGGTAAGGACGACAGATTTCCTCAGAACCTCAGGTTGATGGTTTTATAGTCACTATTACTGAGATTAGATTTCAATTCCAGATTTTAATGATTGAGTTTCTGGTCCACCAGCTGTCAAGGGGAGGTCTGAATACACGTCTCCTGAAAATTAGTTACTAGTTTACACCAAGCCACTGTTCTACCCACCTATTTAAATACTGCATTTAATTGCTTCCTGAATAGACACACGTGCTTCAAGAACATATTTACTCTTAAGTGGTGAAAGTCAGAAGTCGTATGACACCAGGTTACAGTCCGACAAGTTTATTTGAAACCACCAGCTTTCAGGACACTGCTCCTTCACCTGATGAAGTGCAGTGCTCCGAAAGCTTGTGATTTGAAATAAACCTGTTGGACATAACCTGCTGTTGTGTGACTTCTGACTTTCACCACCCCAGTTCAACACTGGTACTTGCACATCATGAAGTGGCAAAAAGATGCAAAGTCCCCCTCTAAACCACTCACCATTCTGACGTGGAACTCTATGGTCATTCCTACTGTGTCAATGAATCAAAAGCCTGGAACTCCTTCCCTAAACAATGCAGTGGTTGTTCTTGAAGCACATGGATATCAGTGGTTCAGGAGAATGCTCACACCATCTCAAGTGCAAATAAGGACTGGCAATAAATGTTGGCCTAGCCAGCGATGCCCCCATCCCATAAGTCAATAGTTAAAAAGAGTATGTTTTGAATAGTATTTTTTCAGATGAAGTGAAATGATCAGAGAGTCGGGAAACTTCAAGTCAAAAGCCATTAGTGACAGGAGAGAATAAAAATGAATATAAAGTGATCTAAGAATAAGAGACTGGACAATTGTGTTGGCAAGAGGTTATTTTAAAATCCATAACCAATACATAAGGAAATCCATTTCACGTTATAAAAATTAAGAGACTTCCTATTACTCCCATTAACTTAAATCTGGGGATTACTTACATGTTTCCTCTCAGAGGCTCTCAGTGACTTTGCAGAATAATACAGCAAGAGTGATCCAGAGAGTATGAGCCAGTAGCGAGTCCAGGATGACATCTGTAGGGAAACAGAAGGTAAAGCAACTTTTCAACATTAAACCGAACGTAGCTGTATTCCTGGGTGAACAGCCACCTAGCCTGCGTTATCTGGTAAACCAGGCTATAGGTTGCCAATTTCCACATGTTAGACCTTTAACATTCTGCAATGCCATCATTGTTTTTTTGATACTACATTGCAGATAAAGAAGGTTGTTCTCTTTCATAGAATGTTGCCTCCCTGCTCCTCCCCCTTCGGGTATTTCACAAAGTTTTGGCAAATCTTTGCTCCTGACACTTTCTTCCAGTGCAGTTTCTGGAGGTATTGGTATGGTCACAGCATGTGTACCATGACTGGGTGACTTATTGGTGATAATTAGAAAGCGATGAGAATAACGAGGTTTAAATTATTACAATATTGTGTTGACAATACATAGAGATTGAATGTAGAACATATCTTAGTACAGCACAGGAACAAGCCCATCAGCCCACCATGTCTATGCTGACTGTGAAGCCATTCTAAGCTAATTCTATCTACCTGCACATGATCTGTATCCCTGTATTCCCTGCCTGTTCATGTGTCTGTTTAACTACCTCTTAAACATTGCTACATCTCTGCTTCTACCAACTCCTCTGGCAGCTCATTCCAAGCACCTACCACCCTCTGTGTAAAAAATAACTTGCCTCATGCATCTACTTTGAACTTTCCCCCTCTCACCTTAAAGCTAGGTGCCCTAGTATTTGACATTTCCACCCTGGGAAAAAGACTCTGACTAGGCCTGTCCTGGAATACTGTATCCAGTTCTGGTCTATATTCCCTATCCATGGCTCTCATCATTTTAGATAGCTCTATTAGGTCACTCCCCAGCCTCTGATGCTCTAGCAAAAACAAGCCAAGTTTGTCCATCCTCTCCTTATAGTTAATGCACCAAAATCTAGGCAATATCCTGGTAAACCTCTTTTGCACCCTCTCCGAAGCCTCCACATTCTTCCCATAGTGTGGCAACCAGAACTGCACACAATACTCCAAACGTGACCTAAATAAAATCTTACGTGGTTGCCACATGACTTGCCAATGTTTATATTCAATGCCCCGACCAATGAAGGCAATCATGCTGTACACCTTCTTTACCACCTTATCCACTTGTGTTGCCACTTGCACCCCAAAGTCCCTCTGGATGTCACCGTTTAGATGCTGAAAGATAGGCTCGCACTCCCCTGAACCCTTCCAACAATCTATATAGAGTTTGCTGTGTTGGCAAGCCCCCGGGGAGGGCAGTTAATAATCTGGGGACCAATGTAACAACCACTCAGTCAGTGATATCACTCAATTCAGGGAGTGCATTGTAACGAGAAATAGAAACAGCTTCTGAATGAAGTCTTCTCCTTGTAATTTCAGTGCCTTTCAATTGAGCTGCTGGTCTTACAAAAGAAAAGTGAAAAATTTTTCATATGACGAAGTGAATTCAAAGTGTCTTTGCTGAAGTGTAGCTGTTCTGTTAAGAATTTGCCAAAAGAGGAGTAGCTGCTGGTGTACTGTTAATGTAGCAAAAGGGAAAAGGGCATTAATATATTGGAAGCAGAACATTTAATGTCTGTGATTAAGCAGTAATTAGTTGTTTCTGTATTTGTTGTTTGTTTTCTACCTGTGAATGGATTATTTTTCAGGATGAAACGAGGTTGCATCTTTTTATCAAAAAGTCTGGATTACTCTATACCAGCCCTCTTTTGGACTGGTTACAGTTTACAATCTGGGTTTGTCTATTTATCTCCTATGGCCACGAACACATGGTAGAACAGTGAACTCTTTCTAAAGTCCCACAGTGGATTGTGCTTCACAGTGTGATGCAAATGGTACAAGGATGCCTATTTATGGAAAACTCGCGAGGGCTGGCACAGTATCACCGGCAAACAAGGGATCAGCTGTAAAGCTGTGATGCAAAGGGAAGTCATTTGATAGGATGAGAATATTAAACAAATCAACTATCCGTTTTAGACAATTTTATTTTGGCCATTATCAGCTGTACCATGGCCAATCCAAAATCCCTCCCCAACCCCCTGGACATTTTATCTCAGAAACCTCTTCCTGCTCCACATCGCAAAAGAAACATAATTTGCAGGACTGGCCAGGCTGGTATTTATTGTATGAAATTTGAGACGAGTTGCACACAGCATGTTCCCACAAAAAAAAGTGCTAATGTCTTTTTTCAATACTGATTGAGGTACAGGACACTTCTAAGAACTCCCTTACTCTTTTTCAAAATAGACTATGGGATTTTATTTTTACATCTACCTGAGAAGGCAAACGGGGCTTCAATTTAACGTTTCCTCCAAGTGATAGTACTTTAGAGAATGCGGCACTCCGACAGCATTGCACTGCAGTGTCAGCCTGGAGTTTTGTGCTCAAGTTCTAGAATATTACTTAAACCCATAACCTTGTTAATCAGAGATAGTAGGAACTGCCGATGCTGGAGAATCTGAGATAACAAGGTGTAGAGCTGGATGAACACAGGAGGCCAAGCAGCATCAGAGGAGCAGGAAAGCTGACGTTTCGGGTCTGGATCCTTCTTCAAACCCGAAATGTCAGCTTTCCTGCTCCTCTGATGTTGCCTGGCCTCCTGTGCTCATCCAGCTCGACACCTTGTTACCTTGTTACTCAGGCGGGGTCCAGGAGAGGTGGGGTTGGGAGTTGCACAATCACTACGGCCCATCCCTTCAGCAGGTGTGCCCAGGCTCAGGCTGCATTGTCCCCCTCTGCATCTGAACATAGCAAGACTGAGCTCATATGTGAGAGAGACAGAGTCGTGGGGAGCTGCTCGTCCAATCAAAGGCTGATTTTCACCCACATCTGGTGTTGATAGGTTCATGAGTGAGCCAATCAGCATCGAATGTGGGAGAAAGCCAGCCTGTGATTGGGGCAGCAGCTTGGAAGGCAAGTGGTTAAAGCCAGCCACTGGAATTGTAGTCAGCACACCCCTGGGAGGTGGGGGCTGCCATCAGAACATCAGAGGTTGGCTGAGGACAGCTCCTAACCTTGGGGTTGGTTGACGGTGGTACAGGAGGTGTCAAACATGGCTCTGGGCTGTACGTGCTCAGCAGGGTTGCTGAGCATGGGTCCCAGTCTCAGGAGTTACTGTTGAGGCTCTGGGGGGGTGCTGTTACCTGATACTGGGGTGGGAGTGTTGGGAAGGAAAGGGAAGGCTGTAAGTATAGCTTTGGGACTGGTGGTGTGAAGAGGAGATTGCAAAGGAGAGAGAATAGGTTTAAACCTGTCAACAATGTAACACTCAACTATTTAGGAGCCTGGAATATTTGAAGTCACAAACAATGAGTCCATTGAAAATGAATGTGGAATCTCTAGCTTAAGGCTGCATAAGATCAGGGGCTACTATTGGGGGAGAAATGTAGTAGCTGCTGCTGCAAGCAAATTGTTAAATTGGAATCTGCAATTGAGATCTGAGAAGTAGTAAGTTGGGGTAATGACTGTTAAAATCTTCCAGTTTTGTTCATATGTGATAGAAATGCACTAACTACACGCTCACCAGTCTGTAGAAGGTCCATTTTGGGTGATGCCTTTCTGTGTGTATTTATCAGTCATTCCAGAAGAATGAAAATTTTATTGCTAACTTATGTCTGTCATCTTGTGGCAGTTTAAATATTGTGGGGGCTGGGAAATTAGTGATTTTCTTACAAGTTGAAATTTTAATGGAGGGTTGATAATTGAGGTATTGTTACTATGGGATTGTTTCAGCTACTAACTGATTTAATGAGAATTAAAAAGGAGCCCCTGAAAACCAAAGCAAAAACCTTGAAAATTTTAAAGCAGCCCTGAAGAAAATCTCAAGGAGTGATCTGGGAAACGAATTACTTCAGCACGGGAACAGGTTCAAAGCAGAGCTGGTGGCATAATACAAACGGCCAAACAAACGGTGTACAATCATCTGAAAGTTGTAGTTTTAAAAGTCTATTGTACTGAAAATGGAGCTTTGAATGGTCCTTATGAATAAGGCATAGAGTACAAAAGTGAAGAAATATTGTTGAACCTACACTAAACAGATTGACCCCATTGTGACTGTAACTTAAAGTTGTAGGCACCAAAAGGTTATGAAGGTTTTATGCAGGATTCAGAATAGGTTTACTAGAATGGTTCCAGGGATGAGAGATTACAGAGAGATTGACGTCACTGTCCCAAAAGCCAAGAAGGCTGAGGGGATTCGCTCAAAGTACAAACTATGAAGGGTTTAGATGGAATGACTGGAAACTGTTTTTAAACAGTTGGTCAGGATTGATAATCAGGTGACTCAGATTGAATTGAAGCAGATAGACTAGGGCAAACTGACACAAGGAAATTTAATACAAAGTCTGGAATGCACTCGTCGCTAACGTTGAAGTGGATACAGATTCAAACTTGTGTTCGAAAGGATGTTGGAGGAAAAGTAAAACACCAGGCAGATTGGCTGGGAGGATAGGAGGCAGCTGAAAGACTGATTGGTTTCTCTTCCAAAGAACTGGTGATGATTCGATGGGCTGAATGGCTTCCTTCTGGGCTCCACAGTTATATTAGACCCAACAGACATCCCAAAAGCACTTGACAGAAACTGTCAAAGGTTAAAAGGTGGCTGACAGGGCAGGGCAGAGCAGAGCAGAGATGGAGAGATGAGGGGGCAGAGTGGAGGTGGAGAGATGGTGAAAATGGAGGGGTTTAGACAATCAACAGAAGAGAGACAGAGATAAGACACACTTTGACTGGTTCAATCTTCCTGTTAAATGGTTTCTTTCTTTCAGGAAAGGTAGGTGATATTTTTCCAAAGGTATGTCCTTGTATAAAGCTCCACTGGAAAGCACAGAGTCTCCTCGGTTGATGTCCTGTGGTTTCCTAACTCTGATTACTAATGGCTGACCTGGTGCAAAGGCCTCATGAACTCAAAGCATAACCCCATCACCATGTGAGCAGCCTTATTGACACTCTTAGAGATCCCATGATGTGAGTCCCGCTTTCTGGTCAATCTGGGCCTCCTTACCATTACTGCCATACCAACAGCACAGGACTACTGTAGTCCTTCACGTAGTATCGTAACTCTGAAAGCACAAGACTTCACAGTCTATCCACCTGCTCCCATCCCTGAAGCTGAATAATGGAAAGGGAGAAGCAAAGGGACAACTGAATGCAAATCATTAGAAAAATCTACATCTGCTTGCCCTTAGGACACAGTTCATGGTACCCATTATTCACCTGCTTTCCACTTCATTACACTGTTTGCTTTTATCATTTTTAATTATTTCTATAATTTAAGTGGAGGAAGAAAATCCCACGAATGTGAGACTGATGGGAATTCCTGGCTCAGTGCTCATTAGGTTCAAAGATTTGATACACAGTCTGAGGATGATTAGCCACAAATCACTGCCAACTCAAACAGCTGAACATTTGGATGACCTGAAGAAAATAAACGCCGTTGATGTAAGTTCCACTTACTGCTGGCTTCTTGCCTTCCTTCAGTAAAGTTTTCCGTCTCAATGGTCCTTCTATTGTGATGGCCATGGCTGTTCCACTTAAAGGGCAACTACATGCATCCGTTGGGCTGACGAGAAAAGGAAGGAAATCAGGTTTAGAATCATTTGGAAACGTGACCCATGCAGCACTGTAGTCTGTAGATTTCTCTTAAGTGCTGCTTTTTATAGGTAATCATCAGCTCTGTCTTAAAGATTATAAGCTCAAGTTAACGTTTTAAGTACATTCAGTCTTAAGGTACAATACAGAACTCAGCATGTGCCAGCAAAATCTCAAACACCCAACTATCAACTAAACCGTCTTTTTTTTTATTTTAGGAATTACCTGCTATTGAATGAGATCACCACTAGCCAGTAACCAGGTATACCCTCACACATAAGAAAATGAGGTGTTGTATTTTCTACCACAGTGAGTAAACAAGGGGTTATATAGGAGTGTGTTGAAAGCTGTATAAAATTTATCATCACTTTTGGAATTTTGATCATTTTTCAAGAAGATGTGGGTTTGTGATATAGTGTTTTTTTAAGAAGGATCAGAATGTCATTCGGGAACAGTGACCAAAATGTACTAGTTCCAAGAAGACATGTGACTGTAATCAAGAACTTGGGAGTATCTGGGAATATCAATGCAATAAGATGTTTATATTTCTAGATTTATGACAGGCAGTGTAAACACTTATAAACACAATATAAATCATTAGTTGTGTTTTTGTTTCAGTTCAAAATACACCAGAGTTTTCATTGAGAATAATCAAGAGTTGAATTCAAAAGCAAGTTTGAGTTTATCTCCTAGCAGATTTTAGTTCAATTCAAAGGAAACCAGTTATTGTAGCAGCAGTGTTTTTCGGTTTGTGCAGTTTCCAAGCCAGGAGAGTTTAAGACAAACATCTTCAGGTTGTTCGAATTGAAAATATTTAAACCATCACAACTCTAAAAGGTTCATGACTCAGAGTGAAAGAGTAACATTGCCTCCGAGTCCAACAGAAAGAAACTGAAAGAAGTCAGTTAAGCAGGAATTTAGAGTTGCATTAGACTATAATTTATGGAATCACAGATTTTTACAGTACAGAAGAGGGCCTTCTGGCTATTGTGTCCGTACTGGCTCCTGAAAGAACTGCACAGCTAGTCTCATGCTGCAGCTACCTCTCTCTCAACCTTCGCTGCTCTAAAGAAAATAACTCCAGCCTATCCAATCTTTCCTTTTAGCATAGATCCTCCAGCCCTGGCAACATCTTGGTACAATTACCTCATACAATCACAGTTTTCCTATAAAGTGCTGACTAGAACAACAAGCCGTCCTCCAGTCGTGGGCTAACCAGCATATTACAGAGTTCTTGATAACCCCCCTGCTCCTGTATGCTATACCTCGGCTGGTGGAGGCAAGATCTTGCATGCCTTCTTGACCACCTTATCCGCCTGCTCTGCTACCTTCAGGGATCTGTGAATGCGCAAACCTGGGTCCCTCTGTTTGATCATTTTGGCTAACCCATTGGCACATTACTCACCAGTGACCAGAAAAAGTGTTTTCCGTTTACGCATCAATGCAGCTGAATGGCACACAATACTGAACACCACCAAACCACATGGTCACAAAATGCAGCTTACAGAACGGTGCACAGTTCCTTCACACAACATTTCGGTAGCATTCCTCGAGTTGGTTCTCTCCCCTTTAGTCTGTTACAGCAAAACATGACAGCAATTAACAGGGTTATCTACCAATGGAAGCAGCAAAGCAACACTATGAAAAGCAAAGAAGGCTAAGTGGTGAAGTTCTCTGGGTCAAGTCTGAGGAACCCTCTGTCTCTGGCCCAGATTGATTGGAAAAGGTTTATAGGAAATATTCTCTACCGCTCTGTTTCAAAGCATGTGTGCTTGATTTTGCCTTTTCCTTTTTCTTGGCCACAACATCGGTGCTTGGCCTGTTAGTTCACTTGATTGACAAAATTGGCTTGGGTTGGATAAAAAAGTTTCCCTGACGTTAACTGCAGTCTATCATTTAGCTTGCGACCTGACCACTTCCACTGGGTTCAGATTTTACTTAATCTCTGTTATTCTACAGGGAATGATTCAGTTCAGGTTGTGTAGCGCACAAAATTAGAGACAGCATCTAGCAGAGTTGGACAGGGGAATGAGGGGCAGGTGTCATTTCAGTCTCAATTTCTAGAATTTATCAAAGTAACAGCACTGCCAGGCCGTAGAAAGCAGCAAACACCTTGCATTCTTTAAGGAGAACGAAAACATACCCCTCACACACATGATCCCATATCTATAAATGTTGCTTCAGTCAAGAGGACATATTTGACAAATAAGGCCTTTATTCTCTGGAATGTAGAAGTCTAAGGGGTGATCTAAGCGAGATCTTCAGGGAAAGACAGGGTAGATAAACAGAAATTATTTCCACTGGTTGAAGATTCTAGAACCAGGGGGCATAGTCTAAAAATTAGGGCCAGACCATTCAGGAGAGATATTTGAAAGCACTTCTACATGCAAAGAGTAGTGGAGGTCTGGAACTCTCTTCCTCAAACAGTGGTCGATGCTAATTCACTTGTTAAATTTGAATCTGAGACAGACAAGATTTTATTAAGCAAGGGATATGGGTCCAAGTCAGACATATAGAGTTAGACCACAGGTCTGCCATGATCTTATTGAATCTTGAGGACTAAATGGCCTATTTCTGCTCCTGAGAGATGGGATTATGTTAGTAGCTAAACTTCAAAACCATCATGAATGGTGCTTGCTGGCAGGCCTCTCAAGAACAGTTCACTCCTTGAGACAATTGCTCCAAAGTTATTAAGTAAATTTCATTTGGAATCTGGATGTCAATCTACTCCCATGCAATTTCCACCATCTTTTCTACAGAGGAACAGGCCATTCTACCCAACCAGTTCATTTTAGCATTTATGCTCAACACAAGATCCCTCCAACCCTTGTTCTTCCAACCCCGTCAACACATCCTTCTATTATTTTCTCCCTCATGTGCGATATCAACTTTCACCTTAACTGCATCAATGCTTTTGCTTCAAAACTTCCTTGTGGTAATAAGTTCAATGGACTTAACCACTTTCCGGTTAAAAAAAGTTTCTCTTAAATTTCCAATTGGATTGAGTGACCTTCTTACATATATGGCCCTGAGTGCAAGGTGTGGAGCTGGATGAACACAGGAGGCCGGGCAGCATCAGAGGAGCAGGAAGGCTGACGTTTCGGGTCTGGACCCTTCTTCAGAAATGGGGGAGGGGAAGGGGGCTCTGAAATAAATAGAGAGGAGGGACAATGATAGATCCACCTTCTAGCATTTATTTGCCATCTCTAGTTGCCCTTGAGAAGTGGTGCTGCAGTCCTTTTGGTGTAGGTACACTAACAATGCTGTTCAGGAAAGGGTTCCAGGATTTTGACCCTTCTTTTACGTTGCTCATTTCATCTTTTATTGAAAAAGCCTCAGCCTGCTCAATTGCACTTGACAGGTTCCTTTCAGTTCTGGTATCATTTTGGCACATCATATTTCTTTACAACATGCATGGAGCTTCTATGTTCTTGCTATAATATGCAGACCAGAACTATTCATAGTACTCTGATGTGGTCTAGCCAAGGTTCTATACAAGGTCAACATAAATTCTTGTTTCTCCAGCTTTTTTAAAAGAAACCAGTGTTTTGCTGACTTTCTTATGGCCATATGAACCAGCATTGTTACTACTCGTGATTTTGCATCTATATGTTTTCACAGATCTCTGTTCCTCTGCCCTCATTTAGACAAATGTTTTCCTCGGAATATGTGGTGTCTTTGTTCTTACTACGAAGTACCACCTTGCCTTTAACTATACTAAAGTCAATTCTAACGTGGCCTTAAGTGCTACTATTAAGATGCTTTGATCCCTGCACTGAAAGCAGAATGAAGCTGTAGTAGTGACATACCTGTTAGCAGTGAAGTTTTTCTAAATCACTGTCACCTCCATCATTAGCCCATCAATCCCCCAAAAAACTTATGTTCCTCCAACTCTGACCTCATACACCATTCGCACTCCCCATACCGCACCATTGACAGCTGGGTCTTCTGCCGTCTAAGCTTTAAACTCGGGAGTTCTGCCCTTTCAGACAATGCTAATAGAGCAGACCTCTTTGGCCAAACTCTTAGCCTAATTTTTCCCCCTTTGGCTCAGTGACAATTTGGATCTGAGAATGCATTTTACCACATTAAAGGGGCGACACAAATGCTGTTGTTTATGGATTCCACATCTGTACTGCAGCCCTCAGACAGTAACCAAAGGCCGATCTGGCTTACGAACTGAAACAATGCAATGTTTATTCAATCAGCTTTGTCTGGATTGCATATGATTAGAGTTCCTCTGATGCAGAATAAATATAGGGTCAAAATATCAAAAGTAAATGGACACAGATGCACTGAAGAGATGAAGGTGTTGTACAGGAAATTATTCAATACAGAGGTCTTGAATCTGTGATGGAGCTTAGCTACTATCAGTCTTTTTTCTGGGAACACGGCCAAGTTTGGGCCCAGGCTGTGATTTCATGTCAGGGCCTGCGTGGAACTGAGGTTAATCTGTCCCAAATGAGACCTGTCACATTGGAGAGTGGGCAGCCATTGGCCCAGTGTTAGCTGGGTGCCCTCGATAAAAATGAAAATCACCTCCACGACCCCAGAACGTCCTAATGCATTACGCACCAACGTTGGCGGGATGAGGCTGAGGATATTCAGGCCGAACATTTAATCTGCGAATGCAGGATGTTTTAGGAAGGATTGATCATCATTTTGCTTGCAACTCTTCTTCACAAGCTACCATTTCAGTGGTCTAACAATTTCAAACAAACAATCGTGAATTTTGGACCAGTCAATGAAACAGGATGCATTGCTATGGTTGCCATGGCGACAGTAAGGATGCCTGTCAATTGACAGTGTAGCATACAGTTGTTTGTTTGTTAGTTCCCTCTGCTTATTGAAATGCTAATGCATCCTGTGGGACCGGCAGCGTTAGACTCAGACACAGGCTGGTGAGGCCAAAGTTGGCAGGTTCTGCTGCTGGAGTCAATCGAGAGTTGATGAATCAGTATGAACCCAGTT